ACAGTCTGAGAGTTATCAGTTCATGATGCTGAGGAGAGGACACAGTCTGAGAGTTATCAGTTCATGATGCTGAGGAGAGGATACAGTCTGAGAGTTATCAGTTTATGATGTTGAGGAGAGGACACAGTCTGAGAGTTATCAGTTCATGATGCTGAGAAGAGGACACAGTCTGAGAGTTATCAGTTTATGATGTTGAGGAGAGGACACAGTCTGAGAGTTATCAGTTCATGGTTTGGGGTGGGGGTGGGGCTGATGAAGTGCTCAGCAGAGAGTTTAACTCCTGGGTTTGTTGTGAAAGATTCACGTCACACCCAGATGTTTCTGTCCTCTTGAAGTTATTTTGATGTTCGTGTTTATCAAATCTTTGTTTTGTTTTTGTTTATGCTGCATCATTTTGATCAGCTTTGGTCGTGTTAAACATGTTCATTGATTTCATTTAAGTCTGAATGAATTTATATGCTTAATTATTATAAAGATAACTTTATGTCACGGATATGATCACACAAACTACACATTTATTGTCATTAAGTAAAACCAATATGGTTCAGGTCTTTTCAACAAGCAGTCCGTGGGCCACATCTGGCTCTTTTAAATAGTTCCTTGGCCACACAAATCTGCCTGATTTGTCTGAATTTAAAGCTAAAATTATACATATTTCATTTATTTAGGAGGAGAGAGCAGAATAATCAGAATTTCTTATTACACAGCTGAAATTGGCTCACTTGCTAAATTTCATCTCTTGTCTTTAGGTTAGTAAAAATAATTTAAAAGATCATAAAACACAAAACAAACACAACAAACAATCCATAAAACAATAACAACAAAATAACAAATAACAAAAGCCATATCAACAAACATCACAGTCATCATGGGCTAAATCAAAGAGATAGTGTTAGGTTACCATGACAACAAGGGGGCAGGGCATGTACACCTGTAAGCAGGTGTCCGATTGGCCGATGGTTCTGATTTGATTGTTCCTCCAGACCCAAACAGATGAAACCAACTGAGAAATGTGAACTTTTCTCAACAAAAGAACTAAAATGTGTTTCTGTACTTGTTGCCATAGCGACCAGGATTAATGATGTGTTGAGACCTGAGCGACGCTGGGACGTTTCATGGACGTGTTGTGAAGGATGCTCAACTACTACCACTTCAGAGTTTAGCTCAGTGTCTGTAAATTGAGCCATTTCTCTATTTGGTTGCTTAGCTGAGGCGGCCATCTTGAACAGAAAGCTAATCAGTTGTAGAACAAACACAGTCAGTTACATGATACATACAGAACACCTGTGAGGACACCAGCTATAAACTCTTTACTCACATGGTAAAAACGTCCAGTCCTCCGGGGCCTCTGGTCACATCGAAGTAGTTCAGGAGGATGGAGACGGTGCCGCTCAACGCCTCGTGGCCACACCCGCAGAACAAGGCCACGCCCATGTAGAGCAGGATGGTGGCGATGAGCGACGCCCAGGGGAGGCTGCCAACGCATCGCTCGCAGCACTCCTTACAGCCTGAAAACACACGCACAGGTGAGGCTGCTGTTCAGTTCAATTCAGTTTATTTATATAGCACCAAGTCACAACAGAAGTCATCTCAGGGCACTGAACAAAAACATAAAATTAAGTTAATAACACTATTTATCTGAGGAACAGACTGCTTCGAGTCTAACTTTGTTGTAGACTCTCGTGGTAACATACACATAGGTGAGGCTGCTGTCATGGCAACACACACAGAAGTGAGGCTGCTGTCGTCATGGCAAACTCCCCTCCC